AGGGAAGGAAGAGAGGGGCGAGGGGCAGGGGTGGAACGAGCGGCGGGGAGCGGCGGCAGCAGGGGCGGGGCGGGGACCGGGGGGGAGAAGCGAGGAGGCTGGTTTCGCCCCGCACCCTGCGCCCGCCCGCACACCCCGCCTCCCCCTGCTGCAGAAACTACGCCATTGCGGCCTAGTCCGGCAGCCAGCGGCGCGCTGCCGCCCTCCCTCTCGCACTCCCCTCCGCCGCCATCTTGGCGGCCGCCGCCATCTTTCCTTCCCCCCGCCGGAGCCGGGCAGGAGCAGCGGCGGCAGCAGCGCAGACCCCGCCATCTTTTCGGGGGAGCCGCCATACTTGCCCTGGCGATGAACATGGCGGCGCCCATCACACACATCAAAACATGGCCTCCCTTCAAAACAAAACTGTCCGAGGCGAGCTAGGCAGCCGCCGGCAGGGCCCGGGGCCCGGGGAGGGAGGGGTCCGGCCGCGCACTTACCCGAGGCCCACATGGTGACCGAGAACTCCCCCTCCAGGGTCTTGATCTGCACCTGCTTCTGCTCCCATTTCCTGCCGCCGCCGCCCTCGGCCCCGCCGCCGCCTCCCCCGCTCAGGTAACTCTTCTTGCTGCTCTTCTTGCCGCTGCCGCCCTTCTTTACGCGGCCTCCGCCGCCGGCCGAGGAGGAGCCGCCGCCTCCGCTCTTGCTGCCGGCGGCGGCCACCGTGACCAGGGTCTGCTCGATGTACTCGTCCTCCCCGGCGGGGGCCGGCACCGGGATGAGGATCTGGTCCTCGAAGCCGTCGTCGGCCCTCAGTCCGTCCGAGTCGTCTCCCCCGACCACCTCCTCGCGGGTCTGCACCAGGATCACCTCCTGGTGGTGGTGGTGCAGATGGAGCTGTCCCCCGCCGCCGCCGGCCGCGCCGCCGCCCGCCCCGCTCGGGTCCCCGTCCGAGACTAACGGCTGCAGGGCGATCATGGGCTGGTGGTGGTGGTAGTGATGGGGCGGGTGGTGCGGGCCGCACTCCTCACAGCACTCGTCCTCGTCCTCCTCTTCCTCGTCCTCCTCGCCGCCCACCACGGTGGTCTCGATGGTCTCCACCGGGATGGTCTCCACCTCGATCTCGTGCAGCTCCACGATCTCGGCCGGCATCTCCGAGCCGTCCGTGGCGATGTACAGGGTGTCTCCCGAGGCCATGGCGGGGCGAGGCGGGGGGAGAGCTCCTCCGCGGGCGGCGAGGGGACTCCGGTCCGCTCCCCTCGGCGGATGGTGGGGCTCGGGCTACCTCTCGCTTCTTCTCCTCCTCCTCCCCCTTCCACACAAACACCAGCTCCTCGCAGCCAGCGAGAGGGAGGGAGGGAGGGAGGCAGCCAGCCGCCAAATCCCGGCTACGCTCCCTCGCGAGACTTCCGCTGCTGCCGCCGAGACGGACCCCAGCCCCGGGAGGCCGCTGCCGCCGGGACCCGCCCCCCGCCGCCGCCAAGCGGCCAATCGCGCCGCCCGCCGCGCCCTACGCCTCACCCAGTAGCCTACGGGGGCGCGCCGTAGGCTTGGTTACCGATCTCCGCCACGGGCCGGACCGCCCCGCCCACATTTACCGCCGCCGGCCTATCGGAGAGCGCTGCGACCGCGGAACGCGCCTCCCGGCGCTGTGCAACCAATCGGCTCGCGGCAGTCTCCCTCCTCGCCCCGCCCCTCCCGCCTCGCTCCGCCCCGCGCGGAAGCCCCGCCCCGCCTCTCCGCCTTCCCCCCCCTTCTTCCCTCAGCCGGGGGCGGCTCCCCGAGCTACCGGCAGGGGGCGCGGCAGCAGCTCGGCCGTTAACGGTCGGCGCGCGGCCCTGCCAGCGCTGAGGGGGCGCCGCGCCTGAAATACGGACCGGTAGTAACGGCCGCCTCCCGGCCGGGTGAGCTCCTCCCGCGGGGAGCTGAGCAGCCGCACCGGGGCCCGCCCCTGCCCCGCCGCCCAGGGCTGTCGGCGGGGTCCTGCTGCGGGGCAGGCGCGCCGAGAAGCCTCGGGAGGCTGTTTGAATTTTACACTTGAACTGCTGTTGGTATTTAGGGATTTTTCTCTCTCCTCCCTTTTTTGGGGTCAGTTTTATGTGTTAGGTATTAACATATCGCGTAGGGCACAGTGCTTTCCCACAGAATTTGGTCCAAAAGCGGGCGCAGGGGAGCCGCGGGCTTTCCGCGGGGCTGGCTCCTCTCGGCGCTGCTGGCAATGGAGCACGGCCTGGAGCCCGGCCTCTGGCGGAGACCGGTAACCCATCAACTCCGTTACCCATAAGTAGGGCTTAAAATAACTAATAACATCGTGATTCAATCACTGCACAAAATTCCAGTAGGTGAAGTGAGCGCCTCATTTAAAACGTAATTGTCAAGTGTAGTTATTTGCCTTGATTATTAGTTCATCACTCCGTTGCTCGCCAAAACCCCTCAAACAATAACAAAACAATATGTGCTTCACAAATTCAGCAGCTGTCTGCTCCAGCCACCCTCCACTTACTTCCCTTTCAGCCAACTGCCATCCCTTCCTTACCCCGCTGAGGGAAAAATACCCCTCCTTAGTATCTTGCACTTTTTTGATTATTAGCTTTGTGAGGTGCCAGGCCTGTGTGTGTATAAATCAGGAACAGCATTTGCAAAGAAACAGCTGTTTATCTTGATATGAACAAGCAGATGCAAAAGCGTTTGCAAGAAGGAGATGCAGAGCCATGAGCTGGGGTTCCTGAGACCTCATGGTGAAATGTTCTCAAAGGGTAGTGACGAAAAGTCCTTCGAAAGGGCTGTCTGTTATCTTCAGTCAAAGATTAATGTACTGGTAGTTCTGCAAGCATTTAAATCTGGGGGGGGGAAAAATGTTCGGTTTATATGAAATAAATTAAATGCAACCAAATATGAGGATTTTAAAACAAGTTAAAGCCTCATAGACCTTCAGTACTCAGGGCAAGATCATCTCCTGTTCCTCATTCCTTCTTTTTTCTGCTGTTAACACCACCTTTCCATCCCCTTATATATTAAGCTACTATTAACTACAAGTACAGATTTTCTTCTTAGGTACTTCCGAGGCTGCTGAAAGTATACATCCTATTTTTATCTTCACTTCTCACTACACCACTGCTTTGCTTCCTCAGATCCCAAATTGCCACCACATAAAAACTGATAAAAGATTCCTGTGAGGAAATGCTTTCTTCTTCTACCTCAGCATGAAGTGTTCTCGAAGTTAGTCTAGTCCAAGTCTCAAGACAGCAATACTGAGTTCTGGGCTAAGGATGAGATTAGGAAATACTTTCCTGGTAAGAATTAGAAATCGCAACAAATTTACTTAACTTGTGGAGATCTGGGAATTTCTTCTCTCCAGTCACACTCAGCATTCCCATTTTAACAGACTACAAGATGTAGTTTATCATTGCAAAATTTTCATAAACTGAAAGGTTATTTTTAGATCCTGGAGAGAGATTTCCAGACCATTACATAGAAATTCTCCCCTTCTGTCTATAGTTGGAAGTGAAAATGTAACAGAGTGGGAAAAATAGTGCCTGTAACTTATAAAAATAAGAATATTTCAAAATCAGGATGAAGTCTCCCTTGTCCTCCAAATAAATTTAAATTTAATGAAAAATTGTGAGTCATTTTGGAATTCATTCATATTATTTCTATTAGGAAATATGCACAATTCATGTAATACTTTTTATTCTAAGCTTGCATAGACAAAATATTAATGTCACCTACATGTTAGCCACCACGCACTCAGTCCTGCTCGTCAGTTCCCACCAGAGCTGATACTGAGTTCAGAGCAAGTGGGATTTGGCCCTAAACTGATTATTTTGGGTTGTTGTTTGGTTTTGGTTAGTTAGTTTGTTTGTTTTTTAATATTAGTGTAAATGAGCTTTGTCAAATATAGGAACAAAGTCACAAGTCTTTCTTGTTTATCACTATGTTTTTGGTCAGGTCAATGATAATAGTTTAACAATTTTGTACAACCCCATTTCATTATTTTTTTTTACTGTCAACAAGTATATCATTTTCAACAGAAAAGTCTTTTAAACTTTTAAGTTTGTAAGCATTAAAACCACCTTATTTTGAATATTGCAAGTGTTTTTCCCATACTTTGGCTTAAAGCAAATATTTTAATATTTTGTTGCAACATTCACAATTCATTATTTTTCAGTGTGAAATGTTGCATGATACAAATATTCTTTATCAGCTCTGTGTTTTATCCATTATACAGTTCTTTTCATCCTGAGAGAGACGGTTTCCTTAACTAGCATAAGATTATTTTTCAGTAACTGCAGGGATTAGACACACATCATTTTTCCAACTGCTTGACAAGAAAAAAATACAGCAAGAAGCAAAAATAAAGGTGTGAAAACCGCCCAGTGAAAAGGTGTTTAAAAGAAAACTTTGTCCTCTGCCCAAGTAGCAGCAGAAGTTACTCTTTTGATAATCTGTCATCTTCCTGCCCTATGCACCCCATTTTACTCCCATTCTCAGAACTCCAGCTTATTTCTTAGCCACATTTTAAAAGTGAGGGGAAAAAACGCCCTTAATTTAAAAACAATTAAAACCTTTCATTGGAAATAAAAGGTATTTTTAAGCATGCGTAATGAATAAGCTTTTAAGGCTATATATTCTTTACAAGCACTAGATGCGTCAGACTTCGTGGTTTTGGGTTTTTTCTGGTTCTTTCCCTAAAATCTGCTGTAGTAAACTGCAGTCCGCCATCAGTCTGCAGGAACCAGTTTTTAACTTTTCACACGCACACAGCTACCAGCATTGTTTTTTCTCCACTCTTTCTTGGTACTGCAAAATTCTTGGTAGAAGTTTCAACTCCTGAGCGTATCTAACTAAGAGAGCAAAACCGCACGAGTTTTCTCTTGACACACTCAGCTTCTACCATCCTCATGGCCTTTCTTTTAGATTTAACTGCCTCTAGCATCTGCCTTTCTTCTAGATTTAACTGCCTCTAGCATCTGCCTTTCTTCAGCAGCTGGGTGGGCAGGGAAAAACCTCAGGATTCAAAGAGAGAACAGCTGCAGAGCCAGCACGAGGCAGTGGAGTAGCTCTGTACAGTCATCCCTTGGAGAAGTTAGAAAGCTACGGGTTGCTGAGAGCTGACCTCTTCATTTTGGTGCAGAGTCTCATAAAAAAATAGTGCCATCCACATATATACCTGAGCTACCAGTAACATGCACAAGACAGAAAGACAGACAAAGATGGAAAAGACAGACAGAAAGGAAGAAAGAAAAAGGAAGGGAGGAAGGGAGGAAGGGAGGGAGGGAGGAAAGAAGGAAGGAAGAGGGAGGGAAAGAGGGAAAGGAGAAGACGACAAGATAAGGTGCACGCTCTGTAAGAGATTTCTTACTTCTCTGAACTTCTCCCTGAGCTTTTAGGTTTTTGGCTTTAAACAGAAGATCATGACAGAGCTTTACACTGCGCTTGAGGCTCGAAGCTGTGGGATGACAGGCAACAGTTAGAGGGATGGGGTACCAGTAGGGCCCCCCAGCCTGTAGCTCTGAGATGTGCTGGCTAAGCTGCAGCTCACTTGAAATCTTACGGAGATGAGCCAGGGACCCCTGAGGTACTAGGAACCAAGAGGGAAACACCAGTGAAATAACCCAAAGGAATTAAGGGATACTCCTCTAAGAAGATGACACTGCTGACAGCCCAGCTGAAATGCCTCTACACCAAGGCATGCAGCATGGGCAACAAACAGGAGTTGGAAGCCACCATGCTGTTAGAAAGCTACAACCCAGTTGCCATTACTGAAACCTGGTGGGATGAATTCCATGACGAGTGCAGCTACCAATGGCTACAGGCTGTTCAGAAGGGGCAGGCGAGGAAGGGAGGGTGGAGGTGTTGCCCTCTACATCATGAAATGGGTAGAGTGTGAGGGGTCATCTCTGAAGAATAGCCGCAAGCAGGTTGAAAGGTAAGAAGTAGAGATGGAGGCAACGAAGGGAGCCTTGTGGCTAGTCACCTGATCAAGGGGAGGCTCTTGACGAAGCCTTCTTATTCCAGCTACAGGAGGCATCGCACTTGCAGGCTCTTGTCCTGCTGGGGGCTTCAACCACCCCAACATCTGCTGGAAAAGTACCATAGTGAGCTGTAGGAAATCCAGAGGACTCCTGGAGTGCATTGAAGATAACTTCATAAGCCAGGTAATAGCCCCACTAGAGGGAACGTGATACTGGACCTGATGGTCACCAATGCATGTGAGCTAATTGGTGACATCAAGATGGGAGGCAGTCTGGGCTGCAGTGGTCATGCACTGGTGGTATTTGCAGTCCTGAGGGATGTTGGTCAGGGGAAGCGTAAGGTCAGGACCCTGAATTTTAGGAAAGCAAACTTCCAGCTCTTCAAAGAGTTAGTCAATAGGATCTCCTGGGAAACTGCCCTCAGGGACAAGGGAGTAGAACACAGCTGGTAGATATTTAAAGTCACTTTCCTTTGAGCTCTTACACAGAGCT